TTATTAAATTATTGTCATTGTCTAGCAAAGGTTTTGTTTAATGTTTCAAAAATTATTTTAGAAAGTGGGAGAGTGTATGATAAATAAATATTTGAGAAATTTCATCGTTAACATTCACAGGTTTCCTTTTAAAATAACATAAAGAAGTTAGTTTAGCTAGTAAATTTAACAAAATTATTCGCCCCTCTTAGAAAACTATTAACCGTTGCTAATCGATGATCAATCTCAACCATAAATTCATTTCGTTTTTGTTCAGTCCCCGAAAAGTAACGCTTTGCTGAGCTTCTGTATCCTCTACAGTCGTCCTGCAGAAGTGCACTACAGTATTTTGTGCATTATCACAGTATTTCAACAGCATCAGTTATCAAAAATTTTTCAGATATTTTTGTTATTTATGAGTTTAATCTATTTAATTCTTATCACTTATCCGGAAAAAAATTCTCCACAAGGAATTCGTTTACGTATAAGGATAAATTGCATTCCTCTATTATCATAACCTTATCCTATTGCGATACAGTTTTTCATCATTTTGGTTTCCTTGACAAATAGTGATTGCAATTCAGAGAGGTGTATATCGCGTAAGAATTACAAATTATTTCATCAAAAAATTATCAGTAGCAAATTGTCAACCTGATACATTTTTACCAAAACAGACGGTTGATTTTTATGAATACTATTTGCTACTCCGGAAGATTCTTCAGCTGATATTCCAATTTTATCTTCCTTGAAGCGTGACGCTAATGGCATATAATTGCAAAATTGTGTTGATTTAAGTTTGCCGGAAGGACGACATTTCGGATCGGAAAATGGGGGAGCACCACATAATACTGCAAGTGTATTTTCACATTTTCATATTTTGCTTCAGCATCAATTTAAAATTTGCATTTTCCATTTTTCAATTTAGAAATATGAATTGAAGGCAAAAAAAAATTGTTTTGCTAATTCAGTCTTTTCTTCTGAGTGAACCAAAATTAAAGTTATTTCAAAGTGCAGTATGAGAATAGGGTAAGTATTGCAATTCTTAAAACAAACAAGTTTCGTCACTCTATTTTAAATTTAACAGTTTGTGTCAAAGAAATTTGCATTATTTGATGTGAAAAAAAAACATATATGAATATTGTTAAAGAGCTTACAGGTACGAACAAATGAAGTAGCAGCAGGTGGTTTTCCATATGCATAATCATCGCTCGTAACCACTGTATTTCGCATTTTCTAAAAAAAAAAAGTTAGCCTTAAGTTATAACAGAACATGCATGTTGATATTTTTCTAAAATACATCATTTGCTGAGGATATTTTACTTGAAAAAGTAATTATATTATATGACAGAATTCAATCATTTTTTATCGCTAAAAGAATAAAAACTTTTATCAAAATATGAATATTCATGTTGCCCAATTTTGTAATTTAATATTTTGTTAAAATGAAAGTAATGCATGGAAAATCGAAACGAAAAACATATTTAGTAAGTGAATGTTTAAAATACAAATCAAATTGCAAGATAGAATTGAAATCAAAATTTAAGTTTAATGCATCAACAATGAAAATTTAAGGGATTCAATTATCGACCATACTTTTTGATGATAAAAAACTTCTCTCGAAAATTGGAATAATAAATAATAAGGAAAAAAGTGAGAATTTAAAAAATACGAAAAATAATTAAATTTTCATTTTAATTTATGCTGGCTGTAATCCAGGGAATTTGCATGGTTGGGCAATTTAACTTAAGCTCAGCAAAAGCTCAAATAAAAAAAAAATCCATCGGTATTGAACAACATTAAAATCCCGAAGGATTTTTGAAAATGTTCAAAAATAAACGAACTTGGATATTACAATTTATTGATCATAAAAAATATTTTTGGAAAAATTTTAACCTATCATATTTCTTTGTTAAAAAGTGAATTTTAATAATTTAACCTATCATAATTTTAATCAAAGATTACACATAACCTTCAAAATAATCATCTTTCAAATGAGAAAAGCCTTCAAATAATCATCTTTCAATGAGAATTTTTTAGTTTATCGAGAACAAAGAAATGAAATGAAATGAAAAGAAATGACTAATAAAAATATGAAGGGATGAAGTGGCTGTCATTTTCGACAACTCTTTTTAAAACACTTCAAATTCTTTCTTACTGACATCAATTTGAAAACGTTTTTCAATGAAATTTTTGATACGAAAAAATCATTGGCAATTTTTTTAAAATATTCTTTTTTTTAATATATCTAAAAGTCTCAAATAAAAACTTGATAAGCCAAGACAATCCTTGGCTCTATGAAAAAGAGGGAGGTGGTGGGAGTGAAGGCTTAGAGAGTCTAAGATTCATCAATTGCATGTAAATGTCTTCCGAAAAATTCCCCTTCATTCGTAATCTTTTCGTATTTTCCCCTGATATTTTCAAGGAAAACAAAAGTAAATTGCACTCTCGGGAATTGCTATCCTATTCCCGGTGAAATTTCGAGATATTTTTGTCTACCTCCTGTATTTTTACCCTTAATAGTGAATAATAAATATTGCATAAAATTTCCTATAAAATTTAGCCAATGAGGAAATATTTCAATAATCACTGAATCAATTTTAAAATACTGAATTTGCTATAAAAGGAGAAAATACATGTTAATGAATTTAATGAAAAATAAAAATTAACAAATGAAATGTTGTGTGATTTTAATAAATTTAATAATAAGCAAATCATCATTTTATTTTTTTATCCGAAAAAAAAAGAAAATGATACTGAAAGGTCATTTATTAAAATTTCGAACATTTAATATGCTCTATCTTTCTTTAAACGGTAAGTAAAATAAAAATTAAAAAAGCTTAAATGGATAATTTATCCTTGCAAATCAAAAAAAGATTCGTTAAAGGCAATAGTGTAAGGTATTTGCTTGCACCAGTTGTAATACATTTTCTTAGTGAAAATAAAATTTAATTTTATGTAAGTTAGACTTGGAACAGTTTGGAATCAAATTTTTTTTTGCTGTACGAAACGAAATTTGAACAAAAAAGTGTGCCAACATATTATATTGCTAGAAAAAAAAATAGCCAAAAAAGGGATGAAGTGTTAAATGAAAGCTTTTCTCATGAATGAAAAAAAAAAATGGGAAGCAATAGAAATAATTGTACTTTCGAATCGTGAAATTTAAAAGATTAAAATGTAATTCATGAAAATCTGCAATATATGAAAAATAATTTAATTTATTCGTTCATGCATTATAGAAATTTATGCTTCAAAATTCTATCGAATTCCTGGAAAGCATTTTCTTCGTTTTCTGTTTGATTCAGGAAATATTAATCGAAATATTTGAAAAAGTTGACGAAAAGTTCAATGAATATGGCGAATGAGAGAAAATTTTGTTGCCAACTGAAATATTGCCTTACTGATCTGTGATTGAGCGTTATCATACGAAGGAAATGCATCATTTGCGCTGAATTTTTGCTAGCTGAAAATGATGTAATTTATGATTTCATACGAAATTCAGAAGGCTAACATGACAATAAATTACCATATGGTGACCTTTTTTTTGCGCAAACGTCATTTCATTTTCTAATGCAAATCATTAGGATTATTGTAATTAAAGTTTATTTTCAATCTAATCTTGAAATAATTCAATGTGATTGCATCGAATACGAAAATATCATGCAGTGTTGTAAAGCGAGATTTTTTTTTTTTGTTTTAATTATGAGTCATGTCAAAAAATCCTTATTAAGCTTTTTACCTGCTCAAATTTAGCTAAATATTAAATCGCTCGAAAAATTATTCAAATATGACCTTTGTCGTTGATATCACTTTTTTAGGTTTAAATTAATGTGATATAAAGCAAAAAATTATCGTTAAAAATATATTTGTATATCGTAAAGTGGATATCTATTTTAGAATATATCTAAAGAAAAAGCACAATTCATCACTTCAATTCTTATGCATAAAAAATTTATAATAAAAACAATTTATAAATGAATTTGAAATTATTCTTATAATTTCATTCTTTTATAATTAACTCATCACTCGTATAATTAAGTCTCTCATTTGTAATCCAATAGTTGAAGGTTTGTAAAAATTATATGATCAATTTAACAAAACAACGACAACTCGAAATTATTGTTTACTTAATAAACTTCAAATTTAATGACTTGATTTTGCTTTATTCTATTTCTTTTAATTTTGCATTTAATTTTACTTCAGTACTGAGTTATTGGACATTAACGTTTTGATCAGTAGTTTTCGTATTCGTTATCTGATTAATTAGCAGAAAATTTTCACGCTTTGCTTTATTTCAATAAATATCATTTTAAGATTACTGTGCATTTAACAAGCAAAAAAAGAATTGAGCAATTAAAAAGTAGTGAAATAAATTTAAATGATAAACAGAAATTAGTTCAGGAGAAAAGAAATTACGCATCATTGGTCAGATATTTTAAACAATCTTTTAAATTATTTTTCGCATAGGCTTTTTTTTTTATTAATATCACATATATGCACTAAAAAATAAATCGAAGTTTTCAAATGCGATGCAAATTTCATTTATAAATGCCTATGTATGCCCATTTTTTAGACTTTCAACTTCAAATGTTGGCCGAAATTTGAAATATTTTACAGTATGCGTATATGTATATAACTCGGACAAAAAATATTAGTCTTAAAAAACAAAAGCAATAAAACTTTTACCAAAATTCATCACTTTATAATGAATGGTCAATTTTTTTCTCAAAAAGAAAAGTATCATTTATTATGATAAAATTGAAAATGTCAAAATTTAGAATAAATTTTTTTTTAAGCTTATGAAAATAAAAGTAATTAGGGATGAATTCAGTTATAGATATACAGCATAATTTAGCTGGGAAAATTGGAAATAAAATAAGAAAAATATGATAATTGCAAATGAATAAAGCAATTAAGCGGAAGTAAAAATACAATGTTTAAAAAAATTTAAATTTGAATGAGTTCAAAAAATTTAAATATTTCAATGCAACTTTATCGTATCATTTAAAAGAAAAATTGATAACACCCTTTGTTGGTCACTTTCTTCTCTTTTGTTAATATGCGTGGATATTATTTGTGCAAAGACAAATAATATTTCGATGTTTATGTTTTTGCAAAGAAAGTTTCGTGAAATTTAGCTCAATTTTATTGTCATATGGCATCGTCTTAATATTTTTTTATAGAGAAATAACGTAAAATGTTCCAATCATTTATGCAAATTACTAATACTTAGTGAAAGTTCGAAATTCTGACTCTTATTGACGGATAAAAATTTTAATCTTAAAAGCATTAAAAAATTCAAAAATCTCTTATCTGCTTGAATCTGTGTTTTTTTTTCTTCGATTCATTCATTTGAAGATTGAATTATTTTCAGATTCGCATCATAAATTTCACCGTAAGCTCAGAATGAAGCTCGAATAGTAAGTAGAAAAGTTGAAAGCTTGATAATTTTTCAGGCAAACAATTCTGTTTCAAATTTTAATTTTTGAAGAAATAATAGACTCGTTAGATGCTTGAACTTTGATCATTCTCGAAGATAATGGATAGTTGAGGAAATGTTCTGAGAACGGGCATTTATCCTCAGTGATTTCTTACAAAAATAGTGTAAATTAAAAATGCTAGCAGTATAAAGTTTAAAGATAAAAATAAAAAATAAAATTGAAATGCGAAAATATTTTGTGAATATTTTATCATTTCTAAAAATTGTGGTATATCTAAATTAGTGACTCCAACATCTGTCCATAGAGTAATGAGTAGTAATGAGTAATCATACTATCATATTGTAATTAGTTTATTTTCCTATAATTTGTAAGAATTGAAAGTTTTTTTGAGCTAAATGCAAAGGATATTAATACATTCGAATAAATTCAAAAAGTTTTTGATAAATTGTCTTCATGCGATGCAGAACTAATTGTATCGTTCATGCTACTGAGGAAATGCATGAAATGAAATATTTGAAAAACCGGAATTGATAGATAATAAAATGATAAATTGTTTAAATAGAGAAAGAAATAAGAAAATGAAAAAATTGAAAAGATGGATGGGGGGAAATGCATTTAGCCTTTATATAGTTAAAGTCAAAAAGCAAACATTGAGTGAAATTGGCCAATAAAAAGAGTCAATTTTTTTTTTCTAAAAGTGATATTTTCGATCAAATGATGGGCAAAGTTTAGAGGAAGAAAAAGCAAAGAATAGTGAAGCAAAAGGAAGCAAAGAAGGCAAATGAGCAAATT